AGTAACAATGAATAAAACAATAATATATAAGCTGAAGAAAATATCATTGTGCAAGCCTTAGCTGTGCTTTAAATAAGCAGAATTTGGTGTATATGTATCAGTGCCATATTATACTAAGGGAGCATATAATGCAACACTGCAGCCATCAAGGGAGGCATACATTAGAACTTAAACTCTTAGGTCCTGCCTAATTTAATCCTACATACCTAGGTGTGACCTTCAAAACCTGTTATGAGTGCTCTCCTCGCCCTGGGCTAGCCCTCTTCCCTGCAGAGCTGCTTTTTAAATACGAAATTTTACGGCTTCCCTAGTCCTACATCATGGACATTTGTCAGGGTTTGCTCTACTAGTTCAACCTCTGCTGCAGCATCCCCGAGATATTCCCAAATCATCTGACTGAAAAAGCAAAGGGAAGACATCCCTGACATCCAACACGGGGGCTCTGCTTGAACCACAAAGTAGTTCAGTGACAGCAGACTCAGTTCTGATGTAAAACACATTTTATTCCCTTGTCTGCTGTAGGGAGTTTGATCTTTTGGCTAATGTTCAGTGGTCAAGAAGTCAAAGCCCTCTTGCATGACTAAGTGATAGTCTCTCCATTCTGGTCTCCCACACCTTTCACAGAAGGACCAGAAAATGCTCAGCCCAATACTTACTGTTGCTTGCACTGTTAGCACAGATTGATAAAATCTTTCTCTTGGAAAAAAACCAAGTTGTAATGGGAGGAATCCCTCTGGGTTTCTGTAAGATGGAAATAAATCCAGTAGTGTGTAACTGCAGTAGGATATTTTGGGCAAGGTTTAGAATACATTCCCGCCTTCAACATTTCCTGTGAATACCGCACTAAACCAACACATTTTAAAATGCACGTGAGTGTCCTAGGTAAGCATTTCTGGAAACTGGTCATTAAAATGCAATTGTCTAACGAGCACTGATGTCATTGCTATACACTTCTGGAGAGCTAATTGTAAACACTGAGTGGTTCAACTGAGAAATCAGCTTCCTGTAGATTAATTGTGACAGTGATGTATGTAATATGTAAATAGAACTAATCAGAGAGGCCGGCCATACAACCACGAGGCAGGCAGGAAATGAATACAGCTGAGAACTTTGTAGAGTCACTTTCTTATTTTGACCTTTCAAAAGACTAAATAAATGAATTTAGCTTAGCACAGATGTAAACATTTTCTACAGCAGAAGTTCTGCAGAAACTACAAAGATTCCCAAGCCTGCAACAAGGCATCATGGATGCCTTACAAAATTGTTTTGAGATCCCTGTTGGACAGGACCTACAGACCCCGAATGCAAAACGTTCTGTTCTGTTGCCAGTGATCCATATCTGAAGCAATTGCAGTTTTGTTTCCTTCCTTTTAAACAGCAGCAACAAAAGAGGGTTTTATGATGTGAACTATGCATAGGCATTATAATGCTTCTCTCCCACTAACTCTGGAGTATCCCACATGCCATGTTCCTCCACTAGGATGCATCTTTTCAGTGGACCACTAAAGAAATTCACTGAACTAGCAGAGAGCAAGCTCCTCTACTTGAGATTTACAATAAAACTATTTTCCTTTTGGTATTGCTTCATGAAGCAAAAATGGTTTTTTATCTGAAGATAAACAAAACAACCATATGTTGGATCATATAATTATTAAATTGTAGGTCCAATTATGGTTTCTAATAAGGAATAAAAACCATAAATGTTGAGGAGTGATAAATTGTTAAGAAGATACTGAAGAACAGAATTATTTATTAAAGCCAAATTCATTCAAAACACATAATTTGAATTTTCAATGCTTCAAACCCCTCTACAGGAAAAAGAAACAGGAATATGGAAACACATCTTTTCAGCCCATGCTCTTCAGTGAAGTTTCTTTCCATGCTTATTCTTCACAGAACAGGAAACAGACTGTATTGCCTTTTTTTTTTTTTTTTTGTCCCCTACAAAGATGAGCATCATTTCCCTTCGGCAGAAACTAAACCAAACATAACTCCACAAAAGCCATGCTGATAAAATTGGATTTGAATAACAACAATGGTGGAGCTTAATTCTGGAGGACAATGCTAGAACATAAGTATGGACACGAAGGAGGCAAAGTTTACACTTACCTGACAAGTAACAAAAAAGGCACGGAGAGAGATGCGGAGGGATTACTAAGAAAGGAGAAGTTCTTGCTGAGCTCTAGTTCTTTGTGTTAAGCTGAACCACTCGGTCAGGGCTTCACTTCTATTCCACTGAATAGAAAGTCTGAATCTTTCAGTGCTCACCTTTAAAAAAAAGAAGTATGACGTATTCAGTGCATAATACAATGTCCTTATTGCTAATGTTAACAGTCCATATTGCTACACAAGTCCAGCATGACTTGATCATTGATAGGACCTTATCAAACACTAACAGAATTCAATGCAGATGCTGTACAACCGAAGGACAGGTCCAAAGAGATCACGACATCATCTCAAGGAACTTCCTGCAATTTATGATCTATGCAATTTTGCTTTTTAGTCACATAAAGATTGTTTTGAAAATACATATTCTATTCATCTAACTATGAAAGCTCTGGAAAAATGTATTTATTCTTCTCTACAACTAATAAATCATTAAGTCAATATTGCTCTCACTTTGCAGAGATGTTCTTGATTTGAGGGCTTAAAAATCACTAGTCTCCTTCCCAAAAGATTAGTGAATACATTTCAATGGTTAGAGAAATAATTTGGATTCAGGACATTTGTTTCTCATCCCAGATTTCTTTAGAGCTTTCTAGGTCTTTAGTCATATCATCAACATAATATTCTGGGTCTGCTTTTTCTGACTTAAAATAACTTATTCATTTTTCTATATTGTCATTTTTCAGTATCCTAAATGGCCCAGAAGCATTTATAGGGTCATTAATACCATCGCTATAACTACTGTAGCCTGCAGTGCAACACAGAGATACTCATTAGCACCAGCATCATCACTCACAAAACCCAGACTGACCTTGATGCAATTTGGCTACTTCAGGGCCTGGATTTCATAATAGCTTTCTATTATTGGAGGGGAAATTAAAAAAAAAAAGGGAAAAAGAAAAAATAAAAAGGGATTGTTTGTAATTATTCACTTCCTCCCTGCCCCCCACCCCATTTCTGAATGAATTCTCAGGAGATGCACAGCACATTGCTGCATTCAGGACCAATACTATTGTCACAGCATAGTGCAGTAATGTTTCAAGCATCTAAGACATAACACTCGTTGCTTTAGAATCATTTAAGGTAGACTGGACAAGCTGTTCAGACATATGCTGGGGAAAGCACATCATAGATGGGTGCTGAAAAAGATGACATAATAGGTCATTTCCGTCAAAGTGTTACATGGTATATTGGCTAAGACCACCATAATTCACTTCTGGGTGATGTTTCATGTTACAAATCTTTCTCAAATCAGTTTATATGAACTATTGAGGCTACAATTAACAACATTTTTCAGGAACCGAAATCACTGGGTAATAAAATTCTGGAAGATAAACACAGTATTATATACACATAATAGGTGGAAAAAAAACCCCTTACACGACTACCACTGTTATAGAAAAGTGAAATAAAATAATGCATGCCATATTTATTTACTTATGGGTAAAAGAGAGAATATATTGCTAAAGACAGCTGTGGTTAAAGGCAGTTTAAAATAATCCGAATGCAATATATAAGCCTACTCTGAAACTGAAAATGCAGTTTAAAACCATAACCCTGCTTCTTAAAGGATTTTGAGTCAAAAAAGGCAGTTTTGCACTGAATATTTCTCATTCAGTCTGATTTTAAAATTTGTATCACACATGTAACGTACATGAGTTTTCTTCCCTTTTTCTGTGTTTAAAAAAACAATCACAGCAGAGAACATATTTTTTTGTTATGTTTCAGGAATTCTAAGTCCCAGCAGAGGGTTTTTTTGTTGTTTTTCTTTTGAATATTAGTACCTCCCATCCTCCTCAGTTCCACAAGCCACAATGAAAAGGCCATGGTGGGACTCTCAACAGAACTTACCCATGTTGCAGTAATTGTGAAGAACTGAACAAAATGATGGGAAGATTATGAGATCCTATCTTCTTCTCAAAGGCTCCGCTTCTTATCTGAATAATCAAAACAAGGCATTAGCATTAAAAAAGGCAGACTGCTTAATTCTTAATCATTTAACTACTGCATAATTTTATTTTTTTCCAGCCCCTCATTCAGTTAAGACTGAAGAAGTTTTTTTGGCAGATGTATTGTTCCTATGACATCTATAACACAAATTGAACTTAAGAATGAGAAATTTAATTGACATCAGGCTGGTATGTGAAGAGGTAATTTGTGCTAATCAGCCTAAAAATTAATACATTTTTATGTTATGCAAACTAAAACAATAAAGTTTTTGTTATTTACTGTCAAAATGAAAAAAAAAATTACAAATTTTTGTACTGAACTAAAGACTTTTTATCCTGGTTGGGAGGTAAGTCACAGATAAAAAAGATAAAGGAGAACCTCTAATGGGACAAATTAGAAGTAGATGCTCATAATTTCTGAAAAAATGGTGCAAAAATCAAAATATCTGCTCACAAAATATCTGTTCAACACAACTTCATCTGTCTCTGGCAGAAGACTCTGAGAAACTCCGAGTTTCAAGTTAGCGTAGTGTAGAGAGAACTGATTTTATGTCCAGTATATGGCACCTGAGGCTGTAGAGGGCAGTTTAAGATCAGTTACAAGTTCTTCTAAGAGCTTAAGATGATGTTGCACGTTATTTTATGCAAAATTATTATCATTAAAGTTAATTTTAGAGAAACTATGTACACTTCTCACAGGTGTTTGGGGAAAAATGATGGCATCATCCTAAGTCTATTAAAATACCAAGTTCCACAAGCAGGAACCCAGGAGTTGCTCTCTGCTGGTAGCTGTGCGTGTCTGGATAATCATCAGCCATTTTGCAAAGCTGCAATCTCACTTCCCTAAATGACGACCATAAAACCAGAACTCTACTTAAGTCCCGTGTACGTGCAGCTGCAGTGGCAGTGAAGGTGGAGAACCTCCCTCTTCCCACTACCTGCTCTGGAAACTGCTCAACAACCAACTAGGGACAACCCAGCCGGATACAGCATGTGAGAGCCCTCCTGAGCACATCAGTTACGCCAGATGCAATTGCTGTAAGGAACTAAAAAGAAACATTTTCTGAAGCTGGGAAGCTTTTATAGAGGAAGATGGAGAACCCACTTCTTTTATTCCCCCAACTAAATATTTCTGCCTCAAAGGATAAATCCTATTACAAAGTCATGAAATCAACAACTAAAGAAGAGCCACATAAAACAAGCAAGCCTGGGTAAGTTTTAAGGTCCTGCTGACACTCGGTGTTCTGTTTACACAGAGGATTCTTCTAACATATCTTGTGCCTTTGAATTTAGGGTGCACATAATTTTATATTTGACTTATGTATATGAAAACTCACGAACAGCAATCCTAGGAGTTGTATATGAAAAATATTAATTCATTGTGGAAATATTTCTTAAGAACAAGAAACAAATCAAATAATAAACTAAGAAAATAGGAAAGGAAGATTTTAAGAAGTTCGGAGAAGTGCTTCTTTAAAGCCTGAATGTGATCCGGAAAAGTTTCTTTTTACAAATTTCAAATGACAGGAAGCAATACTTCCTTTTTCTTTGTGAAACATTAAAAGTAGAAGATGCTGAGCTAACTGTTTATGTTCTCTAGTGTGAAATTTCACCCTCTTATCTTTAAAATAAATGAACAAGATACTGAAAATATTTCCATTTCATAGAATCATACAATGTAGTGGGTTGGAAGGGACCTTCAAAGGTCATCTAGTCCAACCCCCAGTGCTTCATATATCAATTTGTGCTAAGCCATAAAGAAAAAAAGAATCATATGTAGCAGAAGTAAAATCAACATTACTATAAGTGAACATAGTGGGATCTATGATGCAGAAGCAGAGATATTAGTCAAAGGAAATATTTGAGGGAAAAAATAAGCTTTCAACAAGGTTGTTTGAAAAGCTACTCTAATTCTGTTGTAGAGCTAAGCAGAAGAGAAATAGGCTGAGTCTTCTCCTGCAGAAATCTGAATTCCATGAAGGTGATCATCTTGGTAAACCTGGAAACTTGACAAAAGCAGCAAGGTAAGCTTTCTAAAAGAGTGAGTTGGTGAGGATACCTTTCAGGAAGTGCCTGTGTGACTCAGAACATTTCCTGTGTTTGTGTGTGTGCATTCAGACTTGACAGAATAGTGCTTTCAACATCTATTTAATTAAAAAGTTAGCAATCTAAGCCAAGCATACAACACTACAAGGTTATCTGGTTCGCATCAAGGTAACTCATCACTTGTGGTTTCACACCACTAAGTGTAGACTGGTCCCCATACACTTACAGATACATTTGAACCTTTACTCATGCCAACAGTATTTTTATTAGTCCACTGACTATATCAAGCAAGTATCAACTTAGAAATGTAGCTGACAAATTACTACTTTCAGGAAAATAATAGAACTAATTGAAAAGCAGGTTTTCCAAAGAATTCTGTGATGTACAAATGCCAGATGTATGTCAAATACTGAATGTATAGTTCCTTAATAATTGCAGTAATTTTTGAATAGTCTTGTCTCCAAAATTCAGATATTGATGTTTAAACGCTGTTGTAATATTGTCCCTCTTACACTGTTTCTCATAAAGATGCAGAGTGAAATCTTGATTTTGTTGAATTCAGAAAGAGCTTAGTTCCTGACTTCAATGAGGTACCAAGATCTCACTGATGTATTAAGAATAGCATTTGTAGGACTTGACTGAAAAGAAGGAATGCTTAAAGTATTGCAACTTCATGGCATAAAATTTGCTGCCCCTTTCTTTCTGTCACAGATCACTTCAGAACACTTTAGTGCTTCCCATGCTATTCTGTCTTAAGCTTGTTGAACCTTGTTTAAGCAGTTACTACCTTTGGGGCAAAGATGCCTGCTTTGACCAGAATTGTTTCTACAAGCTCTTACTAACTGTGAACACATGGTAGACATTGTATAAAGGCTGTTTCTAGAACTCATGAAAAAGTGGCCGAGAAGTGGATATTTAAACACTGACACCTATTCATCTGGGTAATTAGGCAATGTTTGTTGCTTAGACAGCCAAATATCAAGCCCACCCAAATGACAGAGTGTACTCCTGATCTGGAAGACTTTCTAGTCCATGATCATGGGGGGTTCCGTAACTTTCTTTTTCCTCTCTCTCTTTCTTTCTTGTTTTGCTTGCTGGCAGAAGCCTTAATTCAATGGTTTTACAGTTCACTCAGAAATACAAGACATTGCAATGATGACCAAAAGTAAAACAGTGCTGAGAACACCTTTTTTCCGTTTCTCGGTTCCAGACATGTAAAACCACACTAAGATTGCATCTCAAAAAGAGAAAGCACCACCTCCATGCCACCTGTATGCACAGTATTGGTTTGCTCCTTGCGCCTAGGTATTTCACACAAAGTAGACAGCCATCAACGCATCTTATAATCTGTGAAAAGGCACTTTCAGAAGCAGATAAAATGACAATAAATAATTCTCTGAAGAATTTCCCCTTTTAACAGACTAGCGCTTCCTTGCTCAGCCAACTGCCTTTTACCATGTTACTCTCAGCCAGGTGCCTAACAGGGATTCTGCTGTTCTTGTAGAACAAAAGATAAACCGATAGGTTTTTACTGATCTTTCTCCATATACAGATTAGAGAAAGGTGTAGACTGTTTTCAGCAAAAACGAAAGAAAATTACACTTTTTCAAAGAATAAAGCGAGGTAATAGTTTGAGATTTATGATTTGATTTAGTTATTTTTAATGATTTCCATTTTTCACACAGAGATACTAACTAACACAACTAGAAAGAGAATTTAATTAATCACTGCAGATGGACAGTGTGGTGATAGTGGAAATGCCTGTGACCTGTTAATTAGTTTCTTCTCATCTTTAGAAAGTGGCAAAGCTGAACAAATCTTGGTTTCTGTTTTTGCAGCAACTCATCGTTGCACTCAAGTCTTAAGGATCTGTGAGGCTACTGTGTTGATCCAGTTTCTGAAAGAAAACCAGAAATTTACACTAAGAGTTTCCAAACCAGCAAAGAACCTTTCCAGCATTCCATGCAATTGTGAACTGTGGATGTTGTCAGAAGTCAGAGTTTGTCTTTCACCATGACCATATTAATTTCTGTAGCTACAGGAACCCACTGTTCCCCACCCCACTTACAAGTCCACACATTTCAGAGAACTGCACTTTTTGTTCTTTTCATAACTAAAACACTCCATAAGGGAGTGAGCTCTCATTTTCCCTGACTTCAGAATCCCCCTACTTTACTGGCCTATGCTAATTTACTGAATTTCAGTTCTCTGGTATTTGTACCTCTTAAGAAGTGTTTGTCTCTCTGTAGTTAAAAATTTCATTCCTATAAGCAATGACTTCAGCTAGGAGATATGTGACACCTATTAAATAAAAAGTTCTCCTTTTAGTTTTATGCAAAACCAAGATCATTAATGGCTTAAATTCCTTCCCAAATTGCTTGGAATTTCCTTTCATCTAAACTTAATGTGCCTACAAGATCTTGCCAAAGGAACCCAAACCACGTGAATCAGGCAACAGAATGGCAAGCCTCCAAGAGGAAGGGGGAATCATATTCTAGAAGTATTCAATCCATAAGAAATTGTTCTAACCAACTAACTATGGACAAGTTGCTTATTGATACTTTCAGTTTACTGTGCTTTGCCCCCAAGTGAAAATGTTTCTAAATATTAATATTCATAAATAATGTGATAAAAATTGACATCCCCTTCATGATACAGTTCATCTCCAGGCTTACTCCAGTTCTGCTCTACTAAAAATCAAAGTGCTGTTCAGGTGTGCCTATAAAAAACCAAAAAGGCTTTCTCCAAAACTGTATTTGTGTGAATGAAGTAGGGTGTTGTTTTTTCCTTTCTGCATTGTTCTCTAGAGCAGAATATTTGAAATCAAAGTAAAATACATTGACATCTTTGAGGAAGAATATATAGAGATTTATAAATGGTGCAATGTCTCAGAATAACATGACATTTGAAATATGTTTGTCATAAACAAACCAGGCTATATGTGCTATTACCCTGTAAGACTATCACCTAAACCATTTGCTACAACTATGCTATTGCTACAACTTTGTCTTCAGGCTATAGAATTTCCCCTATTTAATTAAAAATAGACTGTGGTAACACGGCCTCAGACCAAGTGCATTCAAAACCACACCTCTACAAGAGTATTTAAGTTTAAATACATGACTAACCTGGTTCCCTTATGAGTTTTACCATCCTGTATGATCCGAGTTGCCTGACAGATTGGTAGTGCAACACAAACACCAAAGAGAAAAATCTCTGCTATGATTTTTTTTTTAAACAGGGGGGAAAAGTAAAACTGCAGCGAAAATATCAGAAAAAAACTAAACCAAATGCTTCTGAAGTCCCCAAGAGAATGAGCTCCTTTAGTAACATGATCTAATCAAAGGTTTTGTGAAACAGTCCTAAGCAATAATGGTAACAGATAACAGAGGTTACAACAGCTTCATAAATACACAATATGCACAATTATTCAAAACCATGTTATGTTTCTTAAGCAGTGTGTCTCCTGAAGAAGCAGTGAAATGGGGAGAATCTTTTGACAAACTGCTTTCTGAAAAAGGTTAGTCGTTTTTTTCCTCTCTGTGCAGACTGTTAGGATGGAAAATTGGTGGAAAATTGTAAAATCCATTTGTGCACTTAAATATATCTGGCAGTTACCTAAACTAGGTATGATGGGTCATTTATAACAGCATGTGTTTCTGCTCTCCTATGCTTCAGCATGTTGTCAATTACTGAAAATAGTTGAAAATAACTTTTAAGTTTCATATTTTATTGAACAAAGTAATGTAAGAGACAGCAAAGTGTTCCTTGAATGAACAGCAGAATTTCATTGGAATATTGCTCAAATATTCTTGTCTGCAAGACCAAGCCTTAAAAATGAAAATGTGTTCTAGGTACTTGGGAAAAGACTTTGTAACTTTTCACAGAATCACAGAATGTTGGGGATTGGAAAGGACCTCAAAAGATCATCCAGTCCAATCCCCCTGCCGGAGCAGGAACCTAAACGAAATTACACAGGAAGGCGTCCAGGCGGGTCTTGAATGTCTCCAGAGAAGGAGACTCCACAACCTCCCTGGGCAGCCTGTCCCAGTGCTCTGTCACCCTCACTGTAAAGAAGTTTCTTCTCAAGTTTAAGCAGAACCTCCTGTGATACATTTTGTTTCTAAAACAGTGATAGGATCAAAGCTGGATATCATTTGAAAGGGCCCGTTGCTTACATAATTATCAAATGCATATGTATCCCTCCTTCATTTTGGAGGGATGTGTGTTTGATTCAGCTACAGTGCTGGACACTGTGCTTCTCATATCTGTTCCCTGAACAGTGGACATCCATACAATTGCATTACTTCCACAGATTAAGCATACTTGGGAAAGAAAATATCTTCGAAGTAACAATAGAATAAAGCAAATTATAAAGGTGCTAAAAGCCTTTCATTTTAAATTGTTAGTGAAGAACAGTCTACTTATGAGCAAAGATTCAAACAGTGTTTCGGTCAGCCTACATTGATATTCACCTAGAATAAAGTCTGTCACTTTCACACACACCCACAGGTTTTAATTGCTTCTATTTCTAAATTAATGAGATCTTGGTAGTGGATTTTTACAGATGCTGAGAATTCTGTAACGGGAGTTACAGCACTCGGGATCATAATGAAAAATTACACTTATTTTAATTATTTTAAAATACATAAAGGTTTTATCTATAATGTAATGTAGTTCAAATGGAGCACAAGCTATTTTGTTACCTTGCACAGCCTGTGTGAGGAGAAAAACTGTCTGAAATGTTTTTTTGGGTTTTTTTTAAATGCAATTCAACATTCCTGTCTGTAGCTGGATTGGATGCGTTTACGAAGTTTCTGAAAACTGAGTTCAGCGAGGAGAACATCGAGTTCTGGATAGCTTGCGAGGATTACAAGAAAAGCAAAACTGCACATGAACTTTTGCCAAAAGCTAAGACCATTTATGAAACATTCATACAGAAAGATGCTCCAAAAGAGGTACAGTAAAAACTTTCTTCCTGGTACACAGTATTTGACACAACTGCGTCTGATGAAATCTGCTTTTAAGAAGTGCATGCCCAGAAGCAGAAGCAACAGTTAATCACACATTCACTGACGTAAGAAGGCTGCATCTTAAATGTGAAAGCTTTGGAAGGAAATCTGGAAGCAACTGCAATGATTATTCTCACTGTCCTCCATAGTCCCTTCAATATCCCCTCCATGTTACTCTTCTAAATGTAAAGTTGAGTTTAAATGAGTTTAAATATTATATCATAGGAATCAGAGATTCCTAGTGGTCTGTAAAACCAGGAGATAGATATATATATATATATACACACACACACATACATACACACATATACAGGGTATATTTAAGAAAAAGTAATGATCTTAAGTGTTAAAGTTGCAATGAGACATCAGCTAGCATTCGTGAAAAAGTATTATCTGTCTTTATTTAAAGCTAACTCCAGAACAAGAGACTATTCTCCCTTTTTCTTAAACCAGTAATTATCTACTAAATTATTACATAACTGAGATTCAAAAGCTTTTAAATAAGTCAAAAGACTAAAAGAGACTAGAAGAAACTATTAAATTAAACATATCCTTTAAAAGAATAATTATGTTTTAAGCATGGACTTTTTTTTTGATTTATACCCGCCCCCCCTTTCTGCTCCCCAGCTCTAATTGCATATTCTAGGCATGTTACTGTCAGCACATACACAAAAATATGTTGATATGTCAATCCTCACCAACACTAAGGCCTTTTTATATTACTATAGTAGTGCAGAAAGTTTTCATATTTACAGTTTCATTTTACTGAAGCGTGTTATAAAGGATTCATAAATGAGCAAAGGGATCATTTTTTGCCTGCTCTAGGGAGGAGATGAACAGGTTGAGAGATGATGAATTCTCACTGAAATAACAATCAACCTCTTCATCAGGTCTTTTGAATTTAAAATTTCCTGTAATTCTATCAAGTTTGAGCAGCTCAAATATGTCACTCGCCAATGCTCCTTTTCCCTGTATTCTTTTTTTTTATTTGTCAGAATAGGAAAAATTTAAACACTAACTGTTACTTCCTTATAACAAGGGTGAAAAAGGTGTAATTCTCATTTTAAGAGATGGATTGCAAAATGGTGCAATTTCCACCTGTAATTTTCATAGATTATATTTAAGATTTGGTTCTGCTTTTCCTAGGAATTGTCCACTTTCAATGTCCCTCTTTATTTCTTTCCCTGTTGCATGTCTTTGGGGCGGATCTTATGTAAAAAGAAACCTCCTGAGTTTGAAGTAGAACCTGTCCTTGCCAATTGATCAATCTATGAGCAGTTATGGTAGGGCATCAAGAGCTGACACCATCAACACTTAGAAGATTGATGTAAGCGAAAAGATGAGCAGGAGGAAAGGTAGGGAGGGGGCAGGGTGTGAAAGTCAAACTTTAACAGTAATGTAACATTTTCTTTATCTGTCATACTTTTAATTTGGTGCACATAGTGTGGCTGCTGCTGTTCACCTGGAGCAGTTGGCTTTGGTGAGACTTCCTTCCTTGGGTTCAACTGAGCAGCTGAGAACAGCCAGCAGCATTACATTTTAGACCACACAGCTCTGGAACTTGAATCGTTTCTCTAACAAAGTTATATATGAATCCTAAATAAGAATTTAGTCAAACTTCAGACTTTATGTTCTATTTTACCAGTGTCCCCTTGTACCAATGACACTTCTGTGAAGACTTTCTGACAGCTGTTACTGAATGTGAACATACATACCAGCTGCATCAGGGATTCAAGGTCCTCTTATCAGAAAAGACTTTCACCAAAGTACAGTATAATTGCTATGGATAATAACTCAGGAAATGCATGAATGTACATTAAAGAAATATATTTTTCCTCATTCACCAGGTGAATTTGGACTTTCACACCAAAGAAGTCACAAGCCAGAATATTGAACAGCCCATCATCACCACCTTTGATGCAGCACAAAACACAGTCTACAGGCTGATGGAGCAAGACAGCTACCCACGCTTCCTAAGATCTGATCCTTATTTAAATTTGGTTAAGGGGAGAAATCCCAGTCGCCCTACCCTTAGGAGACGATCACGGTCTTTTACTGTCAATGATTTCCAGGGTGTACGACCAGACTTTACCGCTTGGTAACAGGGAAACTCAACCCTCATAAATTCTAGCTAATGCAGCAACTTGTGTATGCTTTAAAATCCAAACCCTTAGCAGGTGTAAATGAGTGGAAAGCAAAGTTATGTGCACTTATACCAGGTCAGAGTTCTGTAGCTGGTGATTAATCTCATTTATTATAGAGAAGTAGGCAACAAATCAGCAAGACATCTTGATATGTTACCTACTTCTGTAAATTCTGTAACAATGTAAAGTTTTCATCCAGTATTTTTTTAAAACTCAAGCAACAGTTGTAATCATATTTGGAGGAGAAATGTGAGTTTCCTGCATAAAAATTCTGTATAAAATATCATTTTATAATATCCACAATATATCCTGGGCCTGTATTATTTAGGACAAAGTTTCATCACAGTTAGAGTCTATATACCCAGACTTTTCACATATTTATGTTTCTGCAATATTTCCTACACTAAGCACAGAGTATTTGCAGTATTTTCTCATACTGCAAAACACATAGGAACATTATTAGGCACAATGTAAAGTTGCATGGATTTTAGCTACAGCCACTGCTTACTTAAAATTTAGCTATTGCATATTTTAAGAGGAATACTAGAATATCTATTTAATTTTTTGGGGTACATTTTGTACTGTTTTCTTATTACGTGTGTTTGTTCTCTATATTTAAGTTATGCTGTATAGATTAGCTTTACAATTGGATACTAATGAATTTAGTATTTGTATTCTAATTTTTTGTGACCAAATGAGCAGCAACAAAGTGCCAAGAATGATATTTTAACACAGTGTGTGTCATTAAATATCAGGTGCTATTTTTATCTGTGTATATGTGTATATATATATAAATATTTCTGCTTTTATTTGTAAATATTCATGCTATACCAACTTCATTACTAAACTTTGTTATAAATTTTTTCTGCCTTTTATTTTGAAAAAGAACCTGAAAATTAACAGCTCTTGGACTCAGGTAGAATAATCTTCAGTTCTACTGGTCATTAATAAACTCTATATGGTTATAGGGGAGGAAAGAGAAATCTCCCCTTTTAGTTCTTTACTTTGAAGTCACGCATATCCTTTTAATAGTCAGTATAGACAGTTATCCTGTCCTTTCAGAACGGACATAGACATGCCTTGAAACATGGGGCAGTTCTGAAAATTTTGAACATTGGTCCAGTTTAGCAAGAGGCTGCAGGATTTCATTGTACTATGTACTATGACTTTCAGTCACTTTGCATGGAATTTAAACTTTCTCCCTTTTCTTCCCCTTTCTATAAGTATTGAAAGTGAAGAGATGCAGTTCCTGAGGATGGGGCTTTATGTTCATTACTAATTCAGGGTGTATATGAACTGCTTGATCTGAGGGTTTCCATGTCTGCTTTACTAACTTTCAATAAATCTGAAGTGATCTACTTAAAAAGTTCTCAGGATTCAGTTTATCACTAGTACATTGACGACTAAAATGTGAAGACTTAACTTATAATTCAATACCAGCTGTAATTATTACCATTTCAATCAAAAGCGTTACTGTGCACAGACTCCAACTCACCAGGAAATGCTGCTGAGCTGCAATGATCTGGGAACCATCTCCAAGCTCTTTGCTTTACCTGGGGAACAGAGAGGAAACATTTCTAACTATAAGGAGTATGATGTGTGCTGGTTTATTCCACTGTCCTTCCCTGATCCCAAACCTCCAGGCACATGCTATTTCTAACTGTGTAAGCGGTCAGAATCTGGGGACAGTGATTCAGGAATAACTTAAATATTTTTAGTGGTGCTGACCTGTATTTCAGTCTCTGTATCAATATCAAATGCAGCCTTGGAACTTGTCAGCCTCTGTTTTTTTACAAACTGCTCCTGTTGTCGTCATTTTTACAGGTGTCACATGAATCAGCGAATGCAGTGAAAGGCAACTTTCTCACCCAGTTTCATTGCTGAAGTCAGTATACTTTTCTGGATAGATTATTTGCTCTTGCTCTTTGACTGTCTGTCCCTTAAACAGGAATCAATTCTGCCAGAAATGTTCCTGCTTCTGATTAGGGAATCTCTAATATCACCAAAAATGTCTCGATACCAAAGTTCCAGATATTTAAAATATGCACATTCCTATGTTTTGTATTAATGTGTTAGAGAAAGAGAATGTGTTTGAGGACACACACACCTGAGCATTAACAGTGGGTCTGTTGCATCACTGGCATAAGACCTACACATTTGCAGCTACATTCACCCCTGGTGTGATTACATTCCTTCATACCAGCTGAGAATCTGCACTTTTATTCTTGCCATGGATTAAATAAATGTAAAAAAAAAAAAGTGCATTTAATACTGTTCCAAAATCCAAACAAATGACAAATATAGTACTTTGAATAAGACTTTTTCTTCTTAGCAAAAAAACAGCTGTTAGTCAAAAGGGTCTGTAATGATAAATATGTCAGCAGGAGCCCTTTGTTTCATTTCACAGACACATGGAAAATTTAGCTTATCTCCAGGGAGGCCTTCCTCAAAACCATCACTTTTGTTGCTAGTCCCACTTATGAGTTTTATAATGAAAACAAACAAATAAGATATTCCTGGTAGCTATTTATGTATGTATGTTTTTCAAAGATAATTATGAACCATAGCTGAATTTACAACAGACTAATGCCATGGGAACTACTGTAAGAAGAAAGTCAAGATAAATTCAGAGAAAGGAAGGCAAGGGGCACAAAGATAAACTAAAATTACATAATTATCTGGCAAAGGTTTTTTTTTTCTACAAGAACCTCCCTTTTAGTGAGAGAAAATGAGTGCTCTGCTATTTAGTGCTCTACTGTAATTCTGGAAGATGAACTAAGCATAGATTTAGTACAAGTCTGTTCTAAAACATGCTGTTCCAGGATCGAGTTAGACGGGATTGATCAGACTAAGGGCTGGCCCTGCACGGATGTGTTTATAGCATGAACCTTAGAGTAGTGCCAGAGAACGTAGTCAGGCTTCTCTAGTTTGGGCAGAATCAATGCCATAGTTATGTAAATCCTCTTGTTTAGCTGACCTAGTGCAAATAACACACTCACAAAGCCTATCGGGTAAGTATTTTTATTGGGGATTATTTTATATAGCAGCTTTTTAGATTTGTATACACCATTCAGCATTCAGTAAGAGCTCTGCAAATACCCCTCTTACCAATGCAATAATTTACCCTACAGAAACACTTCACTGCTTACATATGTGAAGTCTCCAGACCCAAAGTAGAAGGGCAATAATCTGCTAACTTGTATAACACAAAGGTTTGTCTCCTTTATCAATACTTAGGTCTAATTAAATGCTTTAAATTAGCTGAATTGTTATCTACTGTTTTTGTTTAACTTGAGAGAGGTGGAAATACACACACACCTTCTTCAGCTTTTGGGATTTGTTACTGTACAAAAGACAACTTGACTAATTTTTGAACTGACAAAAGACAACACAAATTAAATCTAAGATAAATAATCTCAAATAAAAAGACAGATTTCCATCTTCCACTAAAGTAGGCGATCGGTAATATGGCTCTTACAGGCCCTTGCATGCTGCAACTTCTGTGACTCTCAAAAAGCAGATAATTTTTCTCTCCTTTTCATCCCCAGCTGCTCTGCCTACCTTAATTAACAACTGCTTTGAATGCAGTTCCCTCTCCTTTCCACACACACTGTCAAAATACCTCAACTGAGAAAAAAAAATGGCATATCACCTTCCTCTCTTCAGTAATTCAATATGCTCATAAACTTATGCCTTGCTGAGATGCCTGTCCTAGATCTCACTCTGTTTTTTGCATTTTAGTCAAATGCCCTTTAAGCTCCTGCGTGGCGCTGTACCAAAAATAAAAATGTATTTCCTCTATACACCATCCAGCTTGCTTCCATTCCTACTTTTTTCTTGCTAACATCTAGTTGTTGTCTTCCATTTTTTGTACTCTAATAATTTTAGGCTAGTCTCATAAAAGCTCCCTCTGGTTTTATACCAAAGCTTTTTATCTCTCCTTTCCTAAATGGCATCTGTTTGTGTAATCTCCTCATAAGTCTCCTTACAAGAGATTATATAGATGCCAAGATTTACCATCTAGCCTCTATCGTTGCCTTCTCTATGAAATGCAACTAAAATTAGCAAGCATGAAATACAGTCTCATGGAATTCAATTTAGAGTTTTCAAACAGGACAGAAGATTAAGCTGAAGCCTAACAGGACAATGCTTAACCGTTTTTTCTTCACCATGTGATTTGCCTGTATTTCAGAAACTCTCATTTCTTCCCAACTATCCAGACCCATTTTAAATTTCTGCAGTTAACACTACTCAGGTTTTTCCTTAAGGAAGAGAAGGCTCCTAAGGGTTAAATCTTCATGTGGACTGTCCCCCTGTATGGGACTCAGTAGGAGCTCTCCTACATCATACACATACTTTGCCGAGATTACTTGGGTATGGGGACACAGGAGAAGCCAGAGTCCAGTAGTCACTTACAAAAAACGGTAACTGAGAACATCAGTCTATTTTGATTTTCCCTTTCATTCATTCCTAGCACAGCTGCCTTGGGACAGATATGGGTGATTATGATTCAAGAGCTTTCTGAGGCATAATGCCTACTTTTTGTATATTCTTACACTGGTGCGATTTATACCCATCTCCAAGCACGGGATCATAACATGATCCTATATATTAGTGCTATGTAAGCTTCTTACATGAAGGTCTGTGAAGTCTGATGCTATGTAAATAACAGTGTATTCATTCAGGACATGAGCTGTACCAAATAATTTGCTATTTAGTACTAAATAAGAATCTTCAAGGTTGCACATTTTCTTGAGAATTGTTTCCAATTCTCTTCTCATGTAGATTGTGTTTGTATAGTACTTGGAAATCCTGTATATGAGGAGCCCAGAATGCTGTAAAACATTTTGACAGATTGTTCTTGAAATCAAAACATTTTACCTGAAGGGCATACTTTGCTTGGGTGGAAAATAACAGCTCATTTTCTTATGCAAAACAACTCTGTGGCATATTGAAGACACACAGAGTTATTCACATGGAAAAAAATATTTTTGTGAGTTGACCATGCTGTGCAGTGCTATTGGAAGGCAGGAATTTACATAGTGCTGTGATTAAAATGTATTTGCATCCCGTATGACAGGCATTTCCATGTTAACTAGGATGCCAGCAGTGCTCAG